TACACGAAGTTCCGACATTCATTCCCCCTACACGAAGTTCCGACATTCATTCATCCTACACGAAGTTCCGACATTCATTCATCCTACACGAAGTTCCGACATTCATTCACCCTACATGAAGTTCCGACATTCATTCATCCTACATGAAGTTCCGACATTCATTCATCCCTACATGAAGTTCCGACATTCATTCACCCTACATGAAGTTCCGACATTCATTCATCCTACACGAAGTTCCGACATTCATTCATCCTACACGAAGTTCTGACATTCATTCCCCCTACACGAAGTTCCGACATTCCCTCCCCCTACATGAAGTTCCGACATTCATTCCCCCTACACGAAGTTCCGACATTCATTCCCCCTACACGAAGTTCCGACATTCCCTCCCCCTACACGAAGTTCCGACATTCATTCATCCTACACGAAGTTCCGACATTCATTCATCCTACACGAAGTTCCGACATTCATTCACCCTACACGAAGTTCCGACATTCATTCATTCCCCTACACGAAGTTCCGACATTCATCCCTCCCCTACACGAAGTTCCGACATTCATTCATCCTACACGAAGTTCCGACATTCATTCCCCCTACACGAAGTTCCCGACATTCATTCATCCTACACGAAGTTCCGACATTCATTCATCCCTACACGAAGTTCCGACATTCATTCATTCCCCTACACGAAGTTCCGACATTCATTCCCCCTACACGAAGTTCCGACATTCATTCCCCCTACACGAAGTTCCGACATTCATTCACCCTACACGAAGTTCCGACATTCATTCCCCCTACACGAAGTTCCGACATTCATTCATCCTACACGAAGTTCCGACATTCATTCATCCTACACGAAGTTCCGACATTCATTCATTCCCCCTACACGAAGTTCCGACATTCATTCATCCCCTACACGAAGTTCCGACATTCATTCATTCACCTACACACGAAGTTCCGACATTCATTCATCCTACATGAAGTTCCGACATTCATTCCCCCTACACGAAGTTCCGACATTCATTCCCCCTACACGAAGTTCCGACATTCATTCCCCCTACACGAGTTCCGACATTCATTCCCCCTACACGAAGTTCCGACATTCATTCATTCCCCTACACGACACGAGTTCCGACATTCATTCCCCCTACACGAAGTTCCGACATTCCCTCCCCCTACACGAAGTTCCGACATTCATTCCCCCCCTACACGAAGTTCCGACATTCCCCTTCCGACATTATTCCCCCTACACGAAGTTCCGACATTCATTCATTCCCCTACACGAAGTTCCGACATTCCCTCCCCCTACATGAAGTTCCCTACATTCATTCCCCTTACACGAAGTTCCGACATTCATTCCCCCTACACGAAGTTCCGACATTCCCTTCCCCTACACGAAGTTCCGACATTCATTCCCCCTACACGAAGTTCCGACATTCATTCATTCACCCTACACGAAGTTCCGACATTCATTCCCCCTACACGAAGTTCCGACATTCATTCCCCCTACACGAAGTTCCGACATTCATTCATCCTACTACACGAAGTTCCGACATTCATTCATCCTACATGAAGTTCCGACATTCATTCACCCTACACGAAGTTCCGACATTCATTCATCCTACACGAAGTTCCGACATTCCTTTCATTCACCCTACACGAAGTTCTGACATTCATTCATTCCCCTACACGAAGTTCCGACATTCCCTCCCCCTACACGAAAGTTCCGACATTCATTCCCCCTACACGAAGTTCCGACATTCATTCCCCTACACGAAGTTCCGACATTCCCTCCCCCTACACGAAGTTCCGACATTCATTCCCCTACACGAAGTTCCGACATTCATTCATTCCCCCTACACGAAGTTCCGACATTCCCTCCCCCTACACGAAGTTCCGACATTCCCATCCCCCTACACGAAGTTCCGACATTCATTCCCCCTACACGAAGTTCCGACATTCATTCACCCTACACGAAGTTCCGACATTCATTCCCCCTACACGAAGTTCCGACATTCATTCCCCCTACATGAAGTTCCGACCTTCATTCATCCCTACATGAAGTTCCGACATTCATTCACCCTACACGAAGTTCCGACATTCATTCCCCTACACATGAAGTTCCGACATTCATTCATCCTACACGAAGTTCTGACATTCATTCATCCTACACGAAGTTCCGACATTCCTCCCCCTACACGAAGTTCCGACATTCATTCCCCCTACACGAAGTTCCGACATTCCCCCCCCTACACGAAGTTCCGACATTCCCTCCCCCCTACACGAAGTTCCGACATTCCCTCCCCCTACACGAAGTTCCGACATTCATTCACCCTACACGAAGTTCCGACATTCCCTCCCCCTACACGAAGTTCCGACATTCCTCCCCCCTACACGAAGTTCCGACATTCCATCCCCCTACATGAAGTTCCGACATTCATTCACCCTACACGAAGTTCCGACATTCATTCCCCTACATGAAGTTCCGACATTCATTCCCCCTACATGAAGTTCCGACTCGTGGTTTGGGAGAGCAGGGAAGGGAGTGTTTGGAGCTCTAATACCCCCCCGCCTTGGCGGAGCACTGGAAGCCTTGCTGGAAAAGGGGACCATTGGCTGAGACACTTCGCTCTGCACGAGGAAGCCCCAGGGGGAACAGTTTCGGCACAGCCAGTCCTCCCCTCCCCCATTGCCCCCCCCCCACTCCTCCATCTCCCAAACAAATTGATTGACAGATCCAGAGCACAATTGGTAGATGGGGACACAGGGTTGTCACCCCAGAACAGGAAGTATCTGCAGAAGGGACCGTCATCGGCGTGAATATTCCGTGTCACGTAAAACTTCTCCAACCGCGTTCATCTGAAAACTCAGCCAATCGGATTTCAGGGATTTATTGCGACACCCCAACCGACCTGAGTGAACGAAGATGAAAACATGTCCTGGAATGTGGATCCCCCACCCCACTCGCTCTCCATGTCCTGGAATGTGGATCCCCCCACTCCTCGCTCACCATGTCCTGGGATGTGGATCTCCCCACTCCTCGCTCTCCATGTCCTGGGATGTGGATCTCCCCACTCCTCCTCGCTCTCCATGTCCTGGGATGTGGATCTCCCCACTCCTCGCTAGCTCACACCATGTCCTGGAATGTGGATCCCCCACTCCTCGCTCTCCATGTCCTGGGATGTGGATCTCCCCCTCCTCTCCATGCTCACTCCTCGCTCTCCATGTCCTGGGATGTGGATCTCCCCACTCCTCGCTCCCATGTCCTGTCTCCCCACTCCTCGCTCACCATGTCCTGGATGTGGATCTCCCCCACTCCTCGCTCTCCATGTCCTGGGATGTGGATCTCCCCACTCCTCGCTCTCCATGTCCTGGGATGTGGATCTCCCCACTCCTCGCTCACACCATGTCCTGGGATGTGGATCTCCCCACTCCTCGCTCTCCATGTCCTGGGAATGTGGATCTCCCCACTCCTCGCTCTCCATGTCCTGGGATGTGGATCTCCCCACTCCTCGCTCTCCATGTCCTGGGATGTGGATCTCCCCACTCCTCGCTCTCTCATGTCCTGGGATGTGGATCTCCCCCCACTCCTCGCTCTCCATGTCCTGGGATGTGGATCTCCCCACTCCTCGCTCTCCATGTCCTGGGATGTGGATCTCCCCACTCCTCGCTCTCCATGTCCTGGGATGTGGATCTCCCCTCCTCTCCTCGCTCTCCATGTCCTGGGGATGTGGATCTCCCCACTCCTCGCTCACCATGTCCTGGGATGTGGATCTCCCCACTCCTCGCTCACCATGTGTCCTGGGATGTGGATCTCCCCACTCCTCGCTCACTCCTGGGATGTGGATCTCCCCACTCCTCGCTCACCATGCCCTGGGATACGGATCTCCCCACTCCTCGCTCACCATGTCCTGGGGACACGGATCTCCCCACTCGCTCATCATTTCCAGGGATGTGGATCTCCCTACTCCTCATTCATCATTTCGCAGGATGTGGATCGCCTCACTCCTCGCTCATCATTTCCTGGGATGTGGATCTCCCCACTCCTCGCTCACCACCATGTCCTGGGACACGGATCTCCCCACTCGCTCATCATTTCCAGGGATGTGGATCTCCCTACTCCTCATTCATCATTTCGCAGGATGTGGATCGCCTCACTCCTCGCTCATCATTTCCCGGGATGCAGATCTCCTCTCTCCTTGCTCATCATTTTCTGAGATGTGGATTTCCCCACTCCTCGCTCATCATTTCCCGGGATGTGGATCTCCCCACTCCTCGCTCACCATGTCCTGGGATACGGATCTCCCCACTCCTCGCTCACCATGTCCTGGGATACGGATCTCCCCACTCCTCGCTCACCATGTCCTGGGATACGGATCTTCCCACTCCTCGCTCACCATGTCCTGGGATACGGATCTCCCCACTCCTCGCTCACCATGTCCTGGGACACGGATCTCCCCACTCCTCGCTCACCATGTCCTGGGATACGGATCTCCCCACTCCTCGCTCTCCATGTCCTGGGATACGGATCTTCCCACTCCTCGCTCACCATGTCCTGGGATACGGATCTCCCCACTCCTCGCTCACCATGTCCTGGGATACGGATCTCCCCACTCCTCGCTCACCATGTCCTGGGATACGGATCTTCCCACTCCTCGCTCGCCATTTCCCAGGATACGGATCTCCCCACTCCTCGCTCACCATGTCCTGGGATACGGATCTTCCCACTCCTCGCTCACCATGTCCTGGGATACGGATCTTCCCACTCCTCGCTCGCCATTTCCCAGGATGCGGATCTCCTCTCTCCTCGCTCACCATTTCATGAGATTTGGATCTCCTGCAGCCACTTCCTGTCTCCATACACTGCCTGGCATTTTCTGATGGTGACAACAGTCCGTGTCATGTGTGTGGGAGTGGTCACCATCAGAGTCCCACGTGACAACTGATCCTTCTATTTGGGGGGGGGGGGGTACTTCCAGTTTACGGTGGAGGGGATACTTTCAGTTAGTTTGGGGGGTGGGGGATATTTCCAGTTTACGGGGGGGGGGGATACTTCCAGCTTTCAAGGGTGCTCCAAGTTTAGGGAGAGGGAGATACTTCCAGTATAGGGGGGAGGGGTGTACTTCCAGCTTAGGGGGAGTACTTCCAGTTTGGGGGGGGGAAGGGGGATATTTCCAGTTTGGGGGGTACTTCCAGTATAGGGGGAGGGGGGGTACTTCCAGTTTAGGGGGAGTATTTCCAGTTTGGGGGGCACTTCCAGTACAGGGGGGAGGGGGGGGGGGGATACTTCCAGTTTGGGGGGGAGGGGGGATATTTCCAGTTTGGGGGGTACTTCCAGTTTGTGGGGGAGGGAGATGCTTCCAGTATAGGCGGAGGGGTATACTTCCAGTTTAGGGGGAGTACTTCCAGTTTGGGGGGCACTTCCAGTTTGTGGGGGGAGGGAGATACTTCCAGTATAGGGGGAGGGGTATACTTCCAGTTTGGGGGGCACTTCCAGTTTTGGGGGAGGGGTACTTACAGTTCAGGCTGATGGCGGTGACTCTTCTTCGGGGGGGGCGGTCCTTCCCGGTGTTCCGCCATATTGCGCTCCTCGGTGACGCACACTTTGATTGGAGGGAAGCCTTTCCTGGATGACTCATAGGACAGATACAATGGATTGTAAGCTCTGCAGCCTAGCCTGCCTCCAGAGAGTCACAAATCCCGGCGTCCATTGAAGGGGAGCCGGGACACTCCACGGAGGTATTTTGGACGGGAAGTCGTCCAATCAGAGCAGCCGGGGGCTGCAGACCATATATGTATAGAGGAAGCCGGGAGCTGAAACTGGAGCCTCTCCTGGACTCCGGCGTTCCCTGAGTCCGGCATCGGGTGTCACCTGTCAGGGAAACATACGGCTCTCCGGGTGACACGGCACACTGAAATGTTAAAGATGAACTCCGGACGTACACAGGACTCACATACATGGCGGGTGTCCATCCAGTCCTGAGAATTACACAGCTCTGCCACACAGTACAGCTTACCTGACTCTCCTCTGCCGCAGTTCTTGTCTCTCCCCCTGCCCTGTGATTGGTCTATACTCTCATTGATGTATAAGACACACCCTCACTTGTGGTCAGAGGAAGTCAGCTGAACCAAAGCCATCGATGTGAATGCAAATCGAACGTTGTGGGCGGGGACAGCTGTACGCCACGACTGTGACACCACAACTGACACCTCGACTGTGACAACACGACTGTGACACCACGACTGTGACACCAGGGCTGTGACACCACGACTGACACCACAACTGTGACAACACGACTGTGACACCACGACTGACACCACGACTGTGACAACACGACTGTGACACCACGACTGTGACACCAGGGCTGTGACACCAGGGCTGTGACACCACGACTGTGACAACACGACTGTGACAACACGACTGTGACAACACGACTGTGACACCAGGGCTGTGACACCACGAGTGACACCACAACTGTGACAACACGACTGTGACACCACGACTGACACCACGACTGTGACACCAGGGCTGTGACACCACGACTGTGACAACACGACTGTGACACCAGGGCTGTGACACCACGAGTGACACCACAACTGTGACAACGCGACTGTGACACCACGACTGACACCACGAGTGTGACACCACGAGTGTGACACCGTCCTTCTGGCTGAATGTTGGACAAAACATGAAAACAAGAAAAGCAGAAAAAAAGGAAAGGGATTGGCTGCTGCAGTGTCTACTCTTGCCCTGGCTAGCCAACACCCGGTCAGTAGTGAGGCCGACTACATGGTGATAGGAGGTGGGGGGAGGACAGCGGCGCCACCACGTGGCGGTCCATACTACACTACGTCTGGGGCGGGGTCAGAGGCGGCCCCACCGGCTCTCTTACCTCCATCTTGGGAGTTCATGATGTTGAGGGCGAACAGCATGGCGTTGGAGAAGGCGGTGGCCTCTTCCTTGCTGGCGAAGTTGAGGCCGTATACCTGGCGGGCGTCCCTCCATTGGTGGAAGGTGGGCGTGGCCTGGTTGTATTTCAGACCTTTCACAAGTGAATAGTTTATGACGACCTGAAAGGGAAAGAAACAGAAATCATTACCGGTGACAACAACTGCTCCCAGGAAAGTCACCAAGAGGAGAAATAAGACATCCCCGTAGTCGGGCTCCCTGGCCACCAGTCCAGGCTGGGACTTCCCCGGCTCTGGCAGCGGTTACAAAGCCGAAGCGGATTCCGGTATAGAAGCGGGAGGTTCCGGGGAGAACCCGTGGGAGGAGAACCCGTGGGAGGAGCTTGAGGGACACGTTGGATTTATTGGGGAATTACTCCAGAAGGAAAGAAGCCATCACAAGGAGAGCGATCTCACCATAGAGAGCCAGAGAGCGATCCCCCCCATAGAGAGCGATCCCACCATAGAGAGCCGGAGAGCGATCCCACCATAGAGAGCCGGAGAGCGATCCCCCCATAGAGAGCGATCCCACCATAGACAGCCGGAGAGCAATCCCACCATAGAGAGCTGGAGAGCAATCCCACCATAGACAGCCGGAGAGCAATCCCACCATAGAGAGCCGGAGAGCAATCCCACCATAGAGAGCTGGAGAGCGATCCCACCATAGAGAGCTGGAGAGCGATCCCCCCATAGAGAGCGATCCCACCATAGAGAGCCGGAGAGCGATCCCACCATAGAGAGCCGGAGAGCGATCCCACCATAGAGAGCTGGAGAGCGATCCCACCATAGAGAGCGATCCCACCATAGAGAGCCGGAGAGCGATCCCACCATAGAGAGCTGGAGAGCGATCCCACCATAGAGAGCTGGAGAGCAATCCCACCATAGACAGCCGGAGAGCAATCCCACCATAGAGAGCCAGAGAGCAATCCGACCATAGAGAGCTGGAGAGCGATCCCACCATAGAGAGCCGGAGAGCGATCCCACCATAGAGAGCCGGAGAGCGATCCCCCCATAGAGAGCGATCCCCCCATAGAGAGCCGGAGAGCGATCCCCCCATAGAGAGCGATCCCACCATAGAGAGCCGGAGAGCAATCCCACCATAGAGAGCCGGAGAGCGATCCCACCATAGAGAGCCAGAGAGCGAACCCACTATAGAGAGCGATCTCACCATAGAGAGCCGGAGAGCGATCCCCCCATAGAGAGCGATCCCACCATAGAGAGCAGGAGAGCGATCCCACCATAGAGAGCGATCCCACCATAGAGAGCAGGAGAGCGATCCCACCATAGAGAGCGATCCCACCATAGAGAGCAGGAGAGCGATCCCACCATAGAGAGCCGGAGAGCGATCCCACCATAGAGAGCCGGAGAGCGATCCCACCATAGAGAGCCGGAGAGCGATCCCACCATAGAGAGCGATCTCACCATAGAGAGCCGGAGAGCGATCCCCCCATAGAGAGCGATCCCACCATAGAGAGCAGGAGAGCGATCCCACCATAGAGAGCGATCCCACCATAGAGAGCAGGAGAGCGATCCCACCATAGAGAGCCGGAGAGCGATCCCACCATAGAGAGCCGGAGAGCGATCCCACCATAGAGAGCCGGAGAGCGATCCCACCATAGAGAGCCGGAGAGCGATCCCACCATAGAGAGCCGGAGAGCGATCCCACCATAGAGAGCCGGAGAGCGATCCCACCATAGAGAGCCGGAGAGCGATCCCACCATAGAGAGCAGGAGAGCGATCCCACCATAGAGAGCCGGAGAGCGATCCCACCATAGAGAGCCGGAGAGCGATCCCACCATAGAGAGCCGGAGAGCGATCCCACCATAGAGAGTGATCCAACCATAGAGAGCGATCCCACCATAGAGAGCCGGAGAGCGATCCCACCAAAGAGAGCCGGAGAGCAATCCTACCATAGAGAGCGATCCCACCATAGAGAGCGATCCCACCATAGAGAGCCGGAGAGCGATCCCACCATAGAGAGCCGGAGAGCGATCCCACCATAGAGAGCCGGAGAGCGATCCCACCATAGAGAGCGATCCCACCATAGAGAGCCAGAGAGCGATCCCCCCATAGAGAGCCGGAGAGCGATCCCACCATAGAGAGCCGGAGAGCGATCCCACCATAGAGAGCCGGAGAGCGATCCCACCATAGAGAGCCGGAGAGCGATCCCACCATAGAGAGCCAGAGAGCGATCCCCCCATAGAGAGCCGGAGAGCGATCCCACCATAGAGAGCTGGAGAGCGATCCCACCATAGAGAGCCGGAGAGCGATCCCACCATAGAGAGCCGGAGAGCGATCCCACCATAGAGAGCCAGAGAGCGATCCCCCCATAGAGAGCCGGAGAGCGATCCCACCATAGAGAGCCGGAGAGCGATCCCACCATAGAGAGCGATCCCACCATAGAGAGCCAGAGAGCGATCCCCCCATAGAGAGCCGGAGAGCGATCCCACCATAGAGAGCCGGAGAGCGATCCCACCATAGAGAGCCGGAGAGCGATCCCACCATAGAGAGCCGGAGAGCGATCCCACCATAGAGAGCCGGAGAGCGATCCCACCATAGAGAGCCGGAGAGCGATCCCCCCATAGAGAGCCAGAGAGCGATCCCCCCATAGAGAGCCGGAGAGCGATCCCACCATAGAGAGCCGGAGAGCGATCCCACCATAGAGAGCCGGAGAGCGATCCCACCATAGAGAGCCAGAGAGCGATCCCCCCATAGAGAGCCGGAGAGCGATCCCACCATAGAGAGCCAGAGAGCGATCCCCCCATAGAGAGCCGGAGAGCGATCCCACCATAGAGAGCCGGAGAGCGATCCCACCATAGAGAGCCAGAGAGCGATCCCCCCATAGAGAGCCGGAGAGCGATCCCACCATAGAGAGCCAGAGAGCGATCCCCCCATAGAGAGCCGGAGAGCGATCCCACCATAGAGAGCCAGAGAGCAATCCTACCATAGAGAGCGATCTCACCATAGAGAGCCGGAGAGCGATCCCACCAAAGAGAGCCGGAGAGCAATCCTACCATAGAGAGCGATCTCACCATAGATAGCCGGAGAGCGATCCCCCCCATAGAGAGCGATCCCACCATAAAGAGCCAGAGAGCGAACCCACTATAGAGAGCGATCTCACCATAGAGAGCCGGAGAGCGATCCCCCCATAGAGAGCGATCCCACCATAGAGAGCAGGAGAGCGATCCCCCCATAGAGAGCGATCCCACCATAGAGAGCAGGAGAGCGATCCCACCATAGAGAGCGATCCCACCATAGAGAGCAGGAGAGCGATCCCACCATAGAGAGCAGGAGAGCGATCCCACCATAGAGAGCCGGAGAGCGATCCCACCATAGAGAGCCGGAGAGCGATCCCACCATAGAGAGCCGGAGAGCGATCCCACCATAGAGAGCCGGAGAGCGATCCCACCATAGAGAGCGATCTCACCATAGAGAGCCGGAGAGCGATCCCCCCATAGAGAGCGATCCCACCATAGAGAGCAGGAAAGCGATCCCACCATAGAGAGCGATCCCACCATAGAGAGCAGGAGAGCGATCCCACCATAGAGAGCCGGAGAGCGATCCCACCATAGAGAGCCGGAGAGCGATCCCACCATAGAGAGCCGGAGAGCGATCCCACCATAGAGAGCCGGAGAGCGATCCCACCATAGAGAGCCGGAGAGCGATCCCACCATAGAGAGCCGGAGAGCGATCCCACCATAGAGAGCAGGAGAGCGATCCCACCATAGAGAGCCGGAGAGCGATCCCACCATAGAGAGCCGGAGAGCGATCCCACCATAGAGAGCCGGAGAGCGATCCCACCATAGAGAGTGATCCAACCATAGAGAGTGATCCCACCATAGAGAGCCGGAGAGCGATCCCACCAAAGAGAGCCGGAGAGCAATCCTACCATAGAGAGCGATCCCACCATAGAGAGCGATCCCACCATAGAGAGCCGGAGAGCGATCCCACCATAGAGAGCCGGAGAGCGATCCCACCATAGAGAGCCGGAGAGCGATCCCACCATAGAGAGCGATCCCACCATAGAGAGCCAGAGAGCGATCCCCCCATAGAGAGCCGGAGAGCGATCCCACCATAGAGAGCCGGAGAGCGATCCCACCATAGAGAGCCGGAGAGCGATCCCACCATAGAGAGCCGGAGAGCGATCCCACCATAGAGAGCCAGAGAGCGATCCCCCCATAGAGAGCCGGAGAGCGATCCCACCATAGAGAGCTGGAGAGCGATCCCACCATAGAGAGCCGGAGAGCGATCCCACCATAGAGAGCCGGAGAGCGATCCCACCATAGAGAGCCGGAGAGCGATCCCACCATAGAGAGCCAGAGAGCGATCCCCCCATAGAGAGCCGGAGAGCGATCCCACCATAGAGAGCCGGAGAGCGATCCCACCATAGAGAGCGATCCCACCATAGAGAGCCAGAGAGCGATCCCCCCATAGAGAGCCGGAGAGCGATCCCACCATAGAGAGCCGGAGAGCGATCCCACCATAGAGAGCCGGAGAGCGATCCCACCATAGAGAGCCGGAGAGCGATCCCACCATAGAGAGCCGGAGAGCGATCCCACCATAGAGAGCCGGAGAGCGATCCCACCATAGAGAGCCGGAGAGCGATCCCCCCCATAGAGAGCCGGAGAGCGATCCCACCATAGAGAGCCGGAGAGCGATCCCACCATAGAGAGCCCTAGCGGCTGCAGATGGAAGCTTCTGGAAGCCATTACACCGCCCTTCATCTCCAGTCTCAGGATGTCTAAAGGGGAATGTCACTCTCTAAATCATCGTGGACCCATCGTGGACTCGTCGTGGACTCATCGTGGTCCCATCATGGACTTATCGTGGGCTCGTCGTGGACCCGTCATGGTCCCATCGTGGACCCATAGTGGACTCATCGTGGGCTCATCATGGACCCATCGTGGACTCGTCGTGGACCCGTCGTGGACTCATCGTGGTCCCATCATGGACTTATCGTGGGCTCGTCGTGGGCTCGTCGTGGACCCGTCATGGTCCCATCGTGGACCCATAGTGGACTCATCGTGGACCCATCGTGGGCTCTGTGCAATCCTCATGCTTCCAGCATTAGTCATGGAGAAGTATATTGTAGTCACTTAGTTTAACCTTGCTTCTTTGTAATCCTTCATTTACTTCCTGGTTTCTGGCCTAGACAAATGATGTCATACTTCCCAGGAGTCTTCAGGAGAGGACGGAGGGACCCCAGCTCAGCCAATGACTGAGCTAAGGGCAGATGGATTCCAGGAGGTAACTGCTACATGAATCGTCTGCCCTTACTCAAGATGGTCACTGCCTGACATGCCAGGAGGTGTTTTTTCAAAATTAATTCTCAGCAAAATAAAGATGGAGACATAGATGGGTAGATGGAGGAGGGATGGATGGATGGAGACATGGATGGATGGATGGATGGATGGAGAGAGACATGGGTGGGTGGATGGAGACATGGATGGATGGAGGAGGGATGGATAGATGGATGGCGGGAGACATGGATGGATGGACGGAGACATGGGTGGGTGGATGGAGACATGGATGGATGGATGGCGGGAGACATGGGTGGGTGGAGACATGGGTGGGTGGATGGAGACATGGATGGAGACATGGATGGATGGATGGCGGGAGACATGGATGGGTGGATGGAGACATGGATGGATGGTGACACGGATGGATGGTGACATGTTCGATGGATGGAGACATGTTGGATGGATGGAGACATGTTGGATGGATGGAGACATGGATGGAGACACGGATGGATGGTGACATGTTGGATGGATGGAGACATGGATGAATGGATGGAGACATGGATGGAGACACGGATGGATGGTGACACAGATGGATGGAGACATGTTGGATGGATGGAGACATGTTTGGAGACACGGATGGATGGTGACATGTTGGATGGATGGAGACATGGATGAATGGATGGAGACACGGATGGAGACACGGATGGATGGTGACATGTTGGATGGATGGAGACATGGATGGATGGATGGATGGAAGAGTTTGCTTTGAATATTATAAATGAATGATGAAGGATGCCGGATTTGTGGAGCTCGGATTCCGTGCAGTTCCACTTTCACCCTTAGGGCGGGGTCACACCACATGCAGTCCAGGGTATCGGGGGGTCCCAATGGCGGGGTCACACCTCATGCAGTCCAGGGTATCGGGGTCCTAATGGCGGGGTCACACTTCATGCAGTCCAGGGTATCGGGGTCCCAATGGCGGGGTCACACCTCATGCAGTCCAGGGTATCGGGGTCCTAATGGCGGGGGTCACACTTCATGCAGTCCAGGGTATCGGGGTCCCAATGGCGGGGTCACACCACATGCAGTCCAGGGTATCGGGGTCCCAATGGCGGGGTCACACCACATGCAGTCCAGGGTATCGGGGGTCCCAATGGCGGGGTCACACCGGAGCGCTCAGTTCCAGTGATCTCACCGACATTTGGGAACGGGTCCGGACTGCATTTCTATGGTGTGAGGGATTCCACCTTCTCGTTGCAGCAAACCTGCAGTGGACGTGGCAGCCCTCCGAGGACTGTTGGTGTCAGGAGTCCCCATTGGGATCTGCGGGGAGATGGAGGGGCGGGAGTCCCCATTGGGATCTGCGGGGAGATGGAGGGGCGGGAGTCCCCATTGGGATCTGCGGGGAGATGGAGGGGTGGGAGGAGTTCCGGGAAGGCTGTGGTCATGTGACACATGTGGAGGACTTCTATGACACCCAGGACTGGCTGCGACTTACCTGCTGGTCCTGTAGTTTGACCCCGACGACCCGGAAGGTGTTGCTGGCCGTGTTGTGGTGGTAGATGTTGATGCGGCTGAAGCCCTGCTGCCCGGGTTTGATCGGCACCCACTTCTTGCTGGTGTCATCGTAGATCATGACGGACGCCCGCGCCTGACAAATGCTCTGCTCACTGCAAAGGAAAAGGAGAGCGGCGTCACCTCCCAGGATGCATCACACTTCATCCACGCGGGTCACAGAGGAGACCGCACACCATATACCGGCCCACCTGAAACTGAAATATACGGACCACATACTGACCCGGACCAGGGGAAATATACAGACCATATACTGACCCCGGACCAGGGGAAATATACAGACCATATACTGACCCCGGACCAGGGGAAATATACAGACCATATACTGACCCCGGACCAGGGGAAATATACGGACCATATACTGACCCCGGACCAGAGGAAATATACGGACCTCCTCCTGACCCCGGACCAGGGGAAATATACGGAACTCCTCCTGACCCCGGACCAGGGGAAATATACGGACCATATACTGACCCCAGACCAGAGGAAATATACGGACCATATACTGACCCCGAACCAGGGGAAATATACGGACCATATACTGACCCCGGACCAGGGGAAATATACGGACCATATACTGACCCCGGACCAGGGGAAATATACGGACCATATACTGACCCCGGACCAGGGGAAATATACGGACCATATACTGACCCCGGACCAGGGGAAATATACGGACCATATACTGACCCCGGACCAGGGGAAATATACGGACCTCATACTGACCCCAGACCAGGGGAAATATACGGACCATATACTGACCCCGGACCAGGGGAAATATACGGACCTCATACTGACCCCAGACCAGGGGAAATATACGGACCATATACTGACCCCGGACCAGGGGAAATATACGGACCATATACTGACCCCGGACGAGAGGAAATATACGGACCATATACTGACCCCGGACCAGGGGAAATATACGGACCTCATACTGACCCCAGACCAGAGGAAATATACGGACCTCATACTGACCCCGGACCAGGGGAAATATACGGACCACATACTGACCCCGGACCAGAGGAAATATACGGACCTCCTCCTGACCCCGGACCAGGGGAAATATACGGACCTCCTCCTGACCCCGGACCAGGGGGAATATACGGACCATATACTGACCCCGGACCAGGGGAAATATACGGACCACATACTGACCCCGGACCAGGGGAAATATACGGACCTCCTCCTGACCCCGGACCAGGGGGAATATACGGACCATATACTGACCCCGGACCAGGGGAAATATACGGACCACATACTGACCCCGGACCAGGGGAAATATACGGACCATATACTGACCCCCGGACCAGGGGAAATATACGGACCTCCTCCTGACCCCGGACCAGGGGGAATATACGGACCTCCTCCTGACCCCGGACCAGAGGAAATATACGGACCACATACTGACCCCGGACCAGGGGGAATATACGGACCTCCTCCTGACCCCGGACCAGAGGAAATATACGGACCTCCTGCTGACCCCCGGACCAGAGGAAATATACGGACCTCCTCCTGACCCCAGACCAGGGGAAATATACGGACCTCCTGCTGACCCCAGACCAGGGGAAATATACAGACCATATACTGACCCCAGACCAGGGGAAATATACGGACCTCCTGCTGACCCCGGACCAGAGGAAATATACGGACCTCCTCCTGACCCCAGACCAGGGGAAATATACGGACCTCCTGCTGACCCCGGACCAGAGGAAATATACGGACCTCCTCCTGACCCCGGACCAGAGGAAATATACGGACCTCCTGCTGACCCCGGACCAGAGGAAATATACGGACCTCCTCCTGACCCCGGACCAGGGGAAATATACGGACCTCCTACTGACCCCAGACCAGAGGAAATATACGGACCATATACTGACCCCAGACCAGGGGAAATATACGGACCTCCTACTGACCCCAGACCAGGGGAAATATACGGCCCATATAATGACCCCGGACCAGAGGAAATATACGGACCTCATACTGACCCCGGACCAGGGGAAATATACGGACCTCCTGCTGACCCCGGACCAGGGGAAATATACGGACCATATACTGACCCCAGACCAGGGGAAATATACGGACCTCATACTGACCCCAGACCAGGGGAAATATACGGACCTCCTGCTGACCCCCGGACCAGGGGAAATATATGGACCTCATACTGACCCCAGACCATGTCAGGGCTCCCGGTAAGACCAGAGATGTGTGGACTGACACAGGGAAACCGGGCTCAAGTCTGGGTAACAATATAATTTATACACAAATATAACAAAACCTCCAACTGATACCGGAATGTACACAGATAAGAGCAGTCAGGGCTGGCGAGGTGGAGGGGTCAGGCGAGGTGGAGGGGTCAGGCGAGGGGTCAGGAGGGGTCAGGCGAGGTGGAGGGGTCATGCGGGGTGGAGGGGTCAGGCGGGGTGGAGGGGTCAGGCGGGGTGGAGGGGTCAGGCGAGGAGGAGGGGTCAGGCGGGGTGGAGGGGTCAGGCGAGGTGGAGGGGTCAGGCGAGGTGGAGGGGTCAGGCGGGGTGGAGGGGTCAGGCGGGGTGGAGGGGTCAGGCGGGGTGGAGGGGTCAGGCGAGGAGGAGGGGTCAGGCGGGGTGGAGGGGTCAGGCGAGGTGGAGGGGTCAGGCGAGGTGGAGGGGTCATGCGGGGTGGAGGGGTCAGGCGGGGTGGATGGGTCAGGCGAGGAGGAGGGGTCAGGCGAGGTGGAGGGGTCAGGCGGGGTGGAGGGGTCAGGCGAGGTGGAGGGGTCAGGCGAGGTGGAGGGGTCAGGCGGGGTGGAGGGGTCAGGCGAGGTGGAGGGGTCAGGCGAGGTGGAGGGGTCAGGCGGGGTGGAGGGGTCAGGCGGGGTGGAGGGGTCAGGCGAGGTGGAGGGGTCAGGCGAGGTGGAGGGGTCAGGCGGGGTGGAGGGGGCGTCAGGCGGGGTGGAGGGGTCAGGCGAGGTGGAGGGGTCAGGCGGGGTGGAGGGGTCAGGCGGGGTGGAGGGGTCAGGCGGGGTGGAGGGGTCAGGCGAGGTGGAGGGGTCAGGCGGGGTGGAGGGGTCAGGCGGCGGGGTGGAGGGGTCAGGCGAGGTGGAGGGGTCAGGCGAGGTGGAGGGGTCAGGCGGGGTGGAGGGGTCAGGCGAGGTGGAGGGGTCAGGCGAGGTGGAGGGGTCAGGCGAGGTGGAGGGGTCAGGCGGGCCGGGTCAGGAATCATCGGGCAGACAAGACACAAAGGAGCAGGCTGGAGAGTGGTCAGGAATAGCTGGGGTCAGGACAGGCGGAGTTCATTCAGGGTCAGGATCACACAGAATCAGGAATCAGACAGGATGCAGGTACAGGGGCTCATGGGAAACATACACCAAGGCACTGACTGCAGGTCTGGCCATTCCTTAAATACACCTCCTGTAATCAGCCTCAGGTGATTGCTGATTGCAGGCGTGAGCTTCTGGCTGCTGAGAGCACCCGCTGGCCAGCCCTGGTACTGCAGCCCACAAGGTAGGTGAGTCCCACCACCATTGGCGGGTCCATTCCTGACAGACCAGGAGAAATATACGGACCTCATACTGACCCCAGACCAGGGGAAATATACGGACCTCATACTGACCTCGGATCAGGGGAAATATATGGACCTCATACTGACCCCAGACCAGGGGAAATATACGGACCTCATACTGACCCCAGACCAGGGGAAATATACGGACCTCATTAAATGTTGGCCCACACAAGTCCTGCCAGTTGGAGTCATCAGCCGTCTTCATTTTTGGTGACTCCATCCATGAATCCCTACCTGTCTCCATTCCAGCATGCAGTCAGTGAGTCATGGGAAGGTATGTACTGCCCTCTACTGTCACAGTCAGAGCCTGCAATCCTCCAACCATCCCCGCCCTCCACATCATGTGATTCAGGTGTTCCAATGCCCTCCATATCATGTGATTCAGGTGCTCCAATCCCCTCCCAATCATGTGATTCAGGTGCTCCAATCCCCTCCATATCATGTGATTCAGGTGTTCCAATCCCCTCCATATGTGATTCAGGTGTTCCAATCCCCTCCCAATCATGTGATTCAGGTGCTCCAATCCCCTCCATATCATGTGATTCAGGTGTTCCAATCCCCTCCATATGTGATTCAGGTGTTCCAATCCCCTCCATATCATGTGATTCAGGTGTTCCAATCCCCTCCATATCATGTGATTCAGGTGCTCCAATCCCCTCCATATCATGTGATTCAGGTGCTCCCAATCCCCTCCATATCATGTGATTCGGGTGTCCCGATCCCCTCCATATCATGTGATTCAGGTGTTCCAATCCCCTCCCAATCATGTGATTCAGGTGTTCCAATCCCCTCCATATCATGTGATTCAGGTGTTCCAATCCCCTCCATGGACACAGGTGTATACAATCAAGCCCCTAGACATGCAGACGGCTTCTACAAACATTGGTGAAAGAATGGGTCGCTCTCAGGAGCTCAGTGACTCCAAGCGTGGTCCCGTGATAGGTGGCCACCTGGGCAATAAGTCCATCCGTGACATTTCCTGGCTACTAAATATTCCACGCTCAACTGTTAGTGGGATTATAACAAAGTGGAAGCCACTGGGAACAACAGCCACTCAGCCACCAAGTGGTAGGCCACGTCACATGACAGGGCGGGGTCAGCGCATGCTGAAGCGCACAGTGCGCAGAAGTCACCAACTGTCTGCAGAGTCAATAGCTAAAGACCTCCAAACTTGGTGTGGCCTTCAGATGAGCCCAACAACAGTGCGTAGAGAGCTTCATGGAATGGGTTTCCATGGCCGAGCAGCTGCATCCAAGCCTTCCATCACCAAGTGCAATGCAAAGCGTCGGATGCCGTGGTGTAAAGCACGCTGCCACTGGACTCTAGAGCAGAGGAGACGTGTTCTCTGGAGTGACCAATCACGCTTCTCTGTCTGGCAATCCGATGGACGTGTCTGGGTTTGGCGGTGGCCAGGAGAACGGTACTTACCTGACTGCATTGTGCCAAGTGTAGAGTTTGGTGGAGGGGGGATTATGGTGGGGGGTTGTTTTTCAGGGGTTGGGCTTGGCCCCCTAGTTCCAGTGAAGGGAACTCTTAAGGCAACATTTTGGACAATTTCATGCTCCAAACTTTGTGGGAAGAGTTTGGGGATGGCCCCTTCCTGTTACAACATGACTACGTACCCGACACCAGCCACCCTCACCTCTGACACCGGCCACACAGAGGCTTCATCCTCACAGCTTGTATGGTCATGAATCTTCTCTGTATACAGCACAAACCATACAGTGCCCACCAACGCAGACCATTGCCCACCAACGCAGACCATTGCCCACCTGTGCAGACCATTGCCCACCAACGCAGACCATTGCCCACCAATGCAGACCATTGCCCACCTATACAGACCATTGCCCACCTATACAGACCATTGCCCACCAGTGCAGACCATTGCCCACCTATACAGACCATTGCCCACCAGTGCAGACCATTGCCCATCAGTGCAGACCATTGCCCACCTATACAGACCATTGCCCACCAGTGCAGACCATTGTCCACCTATACAGACCATTGCCCACCAGTGCAGACCATTGCCCATCAGTGCAGACCATTGCCCACCTATACAGACCATTGCCCACCTATACAGACCATTGCCCACCTATACAGACCATTGCCCACCAGTGCAGACCATTGCCCACCTATACAGACCATTGCCCACCAGTGCAGACCATTGCCCACCAGTGCAGACCATTGCCCACCTATACAGACCATTGCCCACCTATACAGACCATTGCCCACCAGTGCAGACCATTGCAGACCATTGCCCACCTATACAGACCATTGCCCACCAGTGCAGACCATTGCCCACCAGTGCAGACCATTGCCCACCTATACAGACCATTGCCCACCTATACAGACCATTGCCCACCAGTGCAGACCATTTCCCACCTATACAGACCATTGCCAACCAGTGCAGACCATTGCCCACCAGTGCAGACCATTGCCCACCTATACAGACCATTGTCCACCAGTGCAGACCATTGCCCACCAGTGCAGACCATTGCCCACCAGTGCAGACCATTGTCCACCAGTGCAGACCTTTCAGCACCCCCCCCCCCATTACTTCCCTGAAACACAAGCTCACCTCTGAGCTGCTGTAAAACAACAGCCCGGATTGGATGGCACAAGGCAGGTGACCTGTCCTGGCGGGATCTCTCAGCTCAGCCATGTGACGCAGCTTTGGACTCTCATTGGCCAGGAAGAAACATTTTATAAGGATCCTTATGTGGTGTTTTTGGAGAATGAAGCAAATGGAATATAAAGTGTAGGTGTGACTCCCCCGTGTGGGGGCAGGGCGTCATCGTGGGGGCAGGGCGTCATCGTGGGGGCAGGGCGTCATCGTGGGGGCAGGGCGGCATCGCGGGGGCAGGGCGTCATCGCGGGGGCAGGGCGTCATCGCGGGGGCAGGGCGTCATCGTGGGGGCAGGGCGTCATCGTGGGGGCAGGGCGTCATCGTGGGGGCAGGGCGTCATCGCGGGGGCAGGGCGGCATCGCGGGGGCAGGGCGTCATCGCGGGGGCAGGGCGTCATCGTGGGGGCAGGGCGGCATCGCGGGGGCAGGGCGGCATCGCGGGGACAGGGCGACATTGTGGGGGCAGGGCGGCATCGTGAGGACAGGGCGACATTGTGGGGGCAGGGCGGCATCGCGGGGGCAGGGCGGCATCGTGAGGACAGGGCGGCATCGCGGGGGCAGGGCGACATTGTGGGGACAGGGCGACATTGTGGGGACAGGGCGACATTGTGGGGGCAGGGCGTCATCGTGGGGGCAGGGCGACATTGTGGGGACAGGGCGTCATCGTGGGGGCAGGGCGGCATCGCGGGGGCAGGGCGACATTGTGGGGACAGGGCGACATTGTGGGGCCAGGGCGGCATTGTGGGGGCAGGGCGGCATTGTGGGGACAGGGCGACATTGTGGGGGCAGGGCGGCATTGTGGGGGCAGGGCGGCATTGTGGGGACAGGGCGACATCGCGGGGGCAGGGCGGCATCGTGGGGGCAGGGCGACATTGTGGGGACAGGGCGGCATTGTGGGGGCAGGGCGGCATTGTGGGGGCAGGGCGTCATTGCGGGCCCCCAGCTTCATGCAAATTTGTACTTTAAGACAGGAAATGTAACGAAGGAACTGAAACTGACAATTGTTCCTCCCGACAACTCAGCAACATCTATAAATATAACACGAGAGATTATTCTGACTATACGCCTCGTTCATTCTACGGTTATTCCTCCTTTGCTCAGGACATTCAGAGGTCTGCTGTAAAACAGATGCCAGAAAGTGAGACCTCCCTGCCATAAATCATGACACGCGGTCACTTCTCCCCATCAATGGGATCCGAGGGGTCACAGAGACCGCAGTCAGGAAGGAGGAACATCCGCCAACACACTTCTACCAGCCAATAGGAACCATGGCCAATGGATGGGGGAGGGGTGGGAATAGATTGTCGTCCACATTGGACCCGTTAATCAGATCAGGATTGGGATCGATCCATTGCTGGACCCCCACACACCAATAAATGTGATTTACTACAAATCCCGCTCCAGCCAGATCTAAAACCTTCTAAATCCGGCCAGTGAGGGATCAGCAGGAAGCAGACGAATTCGGATCCCTCTGTGGGTTGGCTGATCTATCGATCGCCTTCCGTACAACCAGCCTGCCGGGATTTCTGTACGATCCCCGCCAGCAGCCATAGCCGCCAGCAGTGATCATTGTATTCTGATGGCGGGGAATCCTCCCACTCTCCAGATACAATGGTGCGGCAGGAGGAGGGAATCAAACAAATTTCTTTACTTCAGCCTGTGATTGAAGGAAAGAAAATTGCATAATGTATGGCTTGCCGGAAAATCTCATTTATTTCCCCAATTCGGCTGTCACATGACCATCTGTGGTGCCATCATCAGAAATGGCGTCAGCTGATCGCAAGCTGCTCCCCGTGTAACCAACCAGTCTTCACATTGAGGCCCCTTTCCCCCCGAGCGCCCCGTATGTCCGCCTTTCATCTGTCCGTTTATGGATGAAAATCGCCCCCCCATGTATTTCTATGGACTAGAGGAAGATCATCCGTTTACATCCATTCATTTCGGCATCTGCTGACATCTTTTAAACGGAAGAAAACCGTAATTACTTCCAAAAAAACCAAAACAGAACGGACAAAAAACTGATTTAAACGGAAAAAAAAGATGTAAATAGACAAAAATGGATGTAAACTGGAAAAACGGATGTAAATGGGGAAAAATGGATGTAAACGGAAAAAAATGGATGTAAACGGGAAAAACGGATGTAAATGGGAAAAACAGATGTAAATGGGGAAAAATGGATGTAAATGGAAAAAAACGGAAGTAAGCGGGAAAAACAGATGTAAACGGGAAAAAATGGATGTAAACGGAAAAAAACGGATGTAAATGAGAAAAAATGGATGTAAATGGGGAAAAATGGATGTAAATGGGGAAAAATGGATGTAAACAGAAAAAAACGGATGTAAACAGAAAAAATCAGATGTAAACGGGAAAAACGGATGTAAACAGAAAAAAAAACGGATGTAAGCGGGAAAAACGGATGTAAATGGCAAAAAACGGATGTAAACGGAAAAAAACGGATGTAAATGGGAAAAAATGGATGTAAACGGAAAAAATGGATGTAAATGGGGAAAAATGGATGTAAACAGAAAAAAACGGATGTAAACAGAAAAAATCAGATGTAAACGGGAAAAACGGATGTAAACAGAAAAAAACGGATGTAAGCGGGAAAAACGGATGTAAATGGCAAAAAATGGATGTAAACGGAAAAAACGGATGTAAATGGGAAAAACAGATGTAAATGGGGAAAAATGGATGTAAATGGAAAAAAACGGAAGTAAGCGGGAAAAACAGATGTAAACGGGAAAAAATGGATGTAAACGGAAAAAAAACGGATGTAAATGGGAAAAAATGGATGTAAACGGAAAAAATGGATGTAAATGGGGAAAAATGGATGTAAACAGAAAAAATCAGATGTAAACGGGAAAAAAAACGGATGTAAACAGAAAAAAACGGATGTAAGCGGGAAAAAAACGGATGTAAATGGCAAAAAATGGATGTAAACGGAAAAAAAACGGATGTAAACAGAAAAAAACGGATGTAAACGGGCAAATGATCTGTTTTCGTATTGGTAAAGGATGGTAACTGATATGAACTGATCCGGTTTTTCTTGGAAAAATGTGACTGAACTGATGAAAAAAGGGAACGCCCGTGTGAAAGGACCCTATAGGACCCAGTGGGGGCCCGGTGAGGACCCTTTGATTGGCCGTTCTGGCAGCCAATGGGCAGATTCCACAAGAAGCGCACACTCCAGGCGGCGGACA